GGTAACAAAGAAAAAGCTGAGAATTGCTAGGTTCTTTTCATCGTTACCTTTTCTAACATATCTTGGTAATAAAAGACTAAAGCCATCAATACACTGCGTTCAATTATAGAGAAAAATAGCACAGATAGTGCGGGTGTTGAGTAAATAAAACGATCGCTCTATTGACAGCACGTTTGTTTTTTGCAATCCTTGTGCGCGCGCGAAAACTGTGTTCGGCCACCTTAATTCATTGATGTTTCGTTCCACTGTCAACAGATTTGGTGTCACATACCAGGGAAAAGTTGGTGATGATATTGAAGTCCGAGTTGATGGTTTAGTTGAGAGGTTTGTGAAACTTATTGTATTATTAGACAAAATTAGATGTGTTGCAATTGTCTCTTTAAAAACATGAAATTAATGAAGTGTGATGTATTTTAGGTACACTCTTCTCCATGTTCTTGAATTTGATTCAACCAGAAAGAGGATGAGTGTGATTGTTAAGTCACCGAAAGGTATGTGAGACTTCAGTACATAGTCAGAGTTACAGTGTCGACAGAGACGACAACAACAACAACAACAAGAGCAACAACACCAACAGTTGTAAGATGTGTGTATTAAGAGATTTAGAGATTTCGACTGCATCATCAACAACAACAGTTTGTTTAGACAAAACAGAGAATGGAGAGTTCTATGCCAAAACATGTGTATATTTTAACTGACAAGTGATTTGTGTCGCAGATGAATATGTGATGTTAGTGAAAGGAGCAGAGACAGCTGTGTTGGATCAACTGGCCTCTGGTCCAAGAGATATTACTCTTGATCATGTCAATGAGTATGCAGTGGTATGTAGACTTGTTCATCCTTACTAAACCAACCGGCAAAACTAGGAAAGGCGATCGTAATGATCTTGTACAAACCAGACTTAAAACAAAACCACTCGATAGGTGTTTGTGATTTGCTTCTTGAAAGAACGGTGTTAAACTCTAGTATAGTTAAAGACAGAACTGGACTTCACATTTATAAATCAGCCATATCCAACAGGTAGTGAAATCACTGATCTAACAAACTGTTTTGGCTCTTTTCCTTAACGAAGGCATACCTTGACAGTTATGCTTTTCAATAATCTGATCTAGGTTGGGTTATTTCGTTGTTTTTAATAGAAAGGACTCAGGACTCTAGCTGTTGCTCGTAGAGTACTTTCAGAAGATGAATATGTTATAATGGATAGAAAGGTAAGTACAATGTATACATTACCACACTCGACACAGCCTAACTGAAGTATTAGGTTGTGGAGTGATTATCAATACCAACAAAAAAACTAAATAGTAGTTCTGCGAGAAATCATTCTTAATTTTGACTGGCAGAAGGTGTGATCTTCAGAAAATAGATCCTCTCCAGCCAAAACATAAAATGAAATGCAAAAATTCCCAAAATATAATTACGCCGGATCGGAGGAATTTAAGTTCAGTTTAGTACTTGGGATTCAGTTAAACGTACATGTAGGTTAAAATGTCCTCTCATTTTATGATTAAAATACAGGCTTGTTCCTTTTATTTTCAAGAATTCGTATTGTTATGGAATTATTTGGCCTTTGGGTTTAATGTACATCTCGTTTTAAATTTCTTGTTGTTATGGTCAAGAAATGTCTTTAAGAGGAAAACAAAAGAAATACTTTTTGAAATTCTAGCTTCAGAAGACTGTTATATTGATCTTCCAGAAATCGTTCAAAAAGTAAAGCTGAATTTATTTTCCTCTTAGTATGTATTCATTCATATCAATAATATCGTTTTGTCACAACTGTTGTTAATTATTATTTGTAACACCGTTGGTTTGTTAGTGGTCTCTGGTCATTGTTGTCAATGTTAGTTTCTTTAGTTCTCTTGTTACCTTTAGTTGTATTTAGTTGTACTTAGTTGTATATAATTCCTGTAAACATGAACCACCTAGATTAGCTCAGCTACCCGCGGGCATGTTATAATTGTACTTTTAATTGTAAAACACAATAAAATGTTATAATGGAAACTGGAAACTAGCGAACAGCTAAGTGTGTATTTGTCCACGTTAAATAAAGTATGTCTATGTCTATGTCTATGTCTATGTCTATGTCTATGTCTATGTCTATGTCTATGTCTATGTCTATGTATGTATGTATATATGTAAATGTCAAAGGTTCGTGATGTTCTTTTAGTTTTGGGACTTTTTTTTAAACCCAAACTTTCCAATTATGAGCTATTTTTGGATCTTAAATTTCATTCCATGAAATCTTTTTATTGTTTTCAAAATTGAGCCTTTGCCCAGAACGTTTCTATTTGATACGTATATTTTATCCGTATAAAACAGTTGACAAAAGAAGTTTTCTGTACTGAAGTGACTCTGTCCACTTTCTGCTTACTATACGTATTGGTACAGACAAAAAGCAAAGTCTACGTTTCATCCCATCAGGCCAGCGCCTTATCTCCAGTTTTTGTAGCGTAAAACGACTAGGATTATTTATTCTTTCTTCCCACCCCTAGATGGCATGCTAGCCCATCGCACGGTAACCTCCAGCATTAAATTAGTACTCGTAAGTGTTGAGATGTACTGTGAGAGTTACATGCCTTTGCCAAGAAAGCAACTCAATGACCCAGGCCAGGTCCTGTTATCTACATAATTCTGTAATTACCATGTCTACAATCTCAACCATGCAACCCATCCCCATTTCCATCAGGCTTCTTTACTTGCTCGTGTTAACCACTGTTATATTTCACCATATAGCTTAACCAGGCCAAGCAAGCTATTAATGACAGAGAAGAACAGGTATTGTTGGTTTGTTTTAGATCTGTTCTATTCTCAAACCTGTTCTCAGTTTCCAGCCTGCATGTAGGGTTTTTTAGCTTTTCATGTTCTTTACTAAGTTATCTTTTGTTGAATATTCAGCTAGCCCGTGTTTATGAGGAGGTGGAAAGAGATTTGCATGTCCTTGGAGCAACAGCTGTGGAAGATAGGTACGTAATATATCAAACACGAAAGACCGTGTTTGACTACATTTCCAAACACCGAGAAGGAAGTTGAAAATACGATGCGCAGCGGAGTATTTTTGACGTACCTCGAGGTTTTTGGAAATGTGGTCAAACAGTTTGTCTTGAAAGTTTGATATATCTTCTCAATCGAAAGTAAAATTGAGTAGAAAAATCTATGGTAATTAAGATCAGATATCCAAACATCGTCATTTTCTTTGTTTAAACTGTTGAATTATTCATGAGATTGAGAAAAGTCTTGTACGTTATTATGGCCTAATGCTCTCCAACCTGCTGGAGAAGTAAGGAATGGAAATTATTAAGGTTCACTCGAAATGGTTTGGCCATGATCCCGAGGACAGGTCATAAGATGGTCAAACGTGAAATATCAAGAGGATTTTTGATAGCCAATGAAGACTTTCTTTTCAAACCCATGCTATGTTTTCAATATATATGTTGAAAGTGCGAAAAATCTCACTTTAACTTACCCTTAAATCACGTTCCTCTATCAAGTTCAAAATTAATGGCTATGTGCCAGATAGTTGCTTAGTTACATGTAGTTTTATGATGAGAATGTTATGTACAGGCCTGTCGCAGACTTTAAGCCCGCTTTAAACCAGACCTTATGTTTTTAATATTCAGTGTTCATGAAATCTTACCCTACGCTGTTGCCTCGTGTGTTTCTATTTAGTTTCGACTTCTTTTTTTTTTTTTGACAAGAGCAGCATCACATTTATTTGAAGTATTTGTCCTGATTTGTTTCAGATTGCAAGATGGAGTTCCCGACACAATAGCGGCCTTGCGAGACGCTGGTATCAAGGTAGGCGCAAATTTTAACATTATACCATATACAGTGCAATTGACAAAACCTGAAATAGTTTTAAGAGAATCTGTGCACAACATTGACTGGCACAAATCGTGGGAATGAGCTCATATGAGCTAGGCGCAAAGTAGATACAGAAACGCTAGAAATCTTAGTCGAAGAAATCAGCCATAAATGATCCGAAAAGTCAGATAAACATCTAGGTCCACCGCTCATGCCAGGAAAGGAACCAATCTAGATAACTAAAGGGAAATTCAATGGACAAAGTCGAGGACTGCTGTTACACAAGACAACTCGAAGGCCTTCAGACCTCTATTTTTGTGGTGTTGAACTACATAATATAGCTCCTCATTATCTCAGTAAACTGCAACTATCAGTATATCATTAGATTCCCAGAACATCTCACGACCCTTTGATGGTTTTGTTTTCTATGTGCACTGTAGGTGTGGGTTCTCACAGGAGACAAGGAAGAAACAGCAGTCAACATCAGTCACTCATGTGGACATTTCAAGGTTTCAGTTGTAGCTTTTATACAGTGTTAGCGATAGAAGAGTTTCTTGGCTGTGTCTAAAGTGATTTCGTGATGAAGTAATGTCTTTGTGACACTATTGTGCATTTTTCTTTAGACGGGAATGGAAATTATGTTTGTGACAAAGAAACAGTCAGAGAGAGAATGTGAGGAGGAGCTTGTCAAATGTCGTGACAGGTAAGTTAGGTTGTGTATGTTGTGACAAGTTCGTTGTGAAAGTCATTGGTTGTCAGTAAAGTTACTGTATGTCATGCCAAGTAAGTTGTTTCTTTGTATGTCATTATTCACTGTATGTTGTGACAAGTGAGTTTTGTTATTCACTGTCTGTCGAGACAAGTGAGTTGTGTTAGTGACAGTGCCTAATGCTACTTGCTTGTTACAGTATGTGAGACAAGTGAATTGTGTTAGCCATTGTATGTCGTGATAATTATGTTAGTTGCGTTAATGACGTTTCATGTTGATTATGGAATATTCATTGTATGTTGTGTTAAGTATGTCGTGTGTGTTGTGTGTTAGTCATTGTTTGTCGTGGTAAGTTCAGTCTAAGTTGTGTTAATCACCGTATTGTATGACAAGAAAGTTGCGTTTGGCTTAGTATAGAGAGGTTTTTAACTAAGTGTCATACAGCGGTTTTCAATTGAGTGTCGAAAGTAATCAGACAATTATGTTGTAATTGGTTTGGTTTTGGTTTTACAGCACTAAATTGAAAATCGCTCTAAAATCAAAACCAATGCAATCACTCTAACCAATCACAAAGGACACAGACAATCGATTGAACCAGTCAAGACTTGAAGTAAATGTATGTAGCCGACGCAGAGCGTGGGAAAACACGTGTAAGCGTTTCACGATTTGTTTTGGTTTTACTTCTGATTGGACGAAAAAGTGGCGCGTGTTTTTTTAATCCCATCGTGTAACGTAGCAAAACCAATTACTTTTCGACTCTCAATTGAAAACCGCCCTAAAAGTTCACGGTGAATTTAATTGCCAATCACATAGCTGTACTCAGAAAAAAACACAATCTTGTTCAAAACAGTGATTTTTAACGGTGGTTCTGTTTCATTTTACTTTAGGCTGTTCCAAAGTCCTCCGACACAAAAGACGCCTTATGGCGTAGTCATTGATGGAATTAGTTTAGCTCATGTTTTCAAAGCTTATACAGGTAGGTATGACTGCTTGATGTATATTTTAATTTAGAATATCTTTGGTTAATTTTATGTACAGTCTGTGACTTTAATTTGGAAACTTGTGGATTTGTGAAAGCCTCATCTCAACTGTGTCACCATTTTACTTCGAATAACTGTAATGTTTAACCCAGCTGGGCTTTTTATTCAAGTCTACCTTGAGGATGTGGGGTATTGACTTCCACATTGGTGTGACAGAATTTATTAATATGCTCAATATCTCACGGGATTCTAGCCCGTGTGTAGACCTCTGCACTCATGCTCAAGGATCCGGTGCCTGTATAAATCTGTAACATTTGGACATTTTATGACTTAGAACCATAATCTTAAGATGAGAGTAAAGAAAATTGTCCTTTAAAAATCTTTTGCTTGTACAAGCAAGCAATCAAAATATCATGTTCTGTTGTTGGCCTATGGGCTGTTACTGTTCACCACTGCATTTCCTTTCTGGTTATTTGCCAAAACTGATCAGGTGACACAGTCTTGGATGGACCTTATTAGGCGATAAAATGACAGATATTTGTTTCCATTCCAGATCTGTTTGTAGATATCTGTCGCGAATGTGTTGCAGTATTATGCTGTAGAATGTCGCCATTACAGAAAGCTCAGGTACTTTACACAGAGTAATAGCAGTAATAAAACCAGCACGGCGAAGTTGTTAGTCTATTCTAATAATAAAAGAAAATATTAAGTGCAGGACAGGAAAAAATTTTGAAATCCAGTCGCCCAGTGGGCTAGTACATTTCAGTTTTCAGTTGCCCCCACTAAAATATTACTTGCCAAATAGGCATGCAAGGTTCATGCCTTGTCAACTACATCATTCACTAGGTAGTGTCTATAATCTGTGATAGACTATAACAGAGGACGAACGCGAGCAAAGTATGCTTGCATTTTAAATTAATCCATGCTTTCAACTCATTGTTTTGCTCATCTTGCAGTCTTGTTTCAAGTTTTGAAATTGTTTTTTTTTTTTTTGGCAATTATCACTAACAAGACTACTGAGGCTAATTTCACGCGCGCACCAGACCATCAAACTTCCATTTTCACTTGTCCAAGAGCAAAATTTACTTCTTCCGGGCAGTCGGACCTGGTGTTTTTTTCCCACCTTGAAGTGATTGTTTGTTTTGGTATCCTGTTGAAGGTAACTGCCGTATCTAATGTATAACTTGTCTCTTAAGCAATGAGTTTTGTATTTTTTGAAGATTGTACAATTAATGAAGTGTTCCCGTGAGAAGCCAGTCACGCTTGCTATAGGTGATGGTGCTAATGACTGTGGCATGATTCAGGAGGCTCATGTCGGTATCGGCGTCATGGGAAAAGAAGGTCGGCAGGCGGTCAGAACCAGTGATTATGCTGTAGCCAGGTTCAAGTTTCTCTTAAGGGTGCTTCTTGTACATGGTCACTGGTATTACGTTCGAGCCGCTATTCTGGTTCAGTACTTCTTTTACAAGGTAACGCATGCGATATGTACCCTTAGCTATGCTTTTACGTGGTGTACAATGCATATTGTGTATACAAGTGTGTATACACAAAAAACCTAATCGCAGTTGTATATTCACCGTATTTTACCAAGAAGCGTTGAATAACTAAGATAGTTATAGTCGTGTTGTAAGGTTAAAATAACGCATTTTAAGCAGTGCTTAAAAGTGTTGCATTGCGATGTAAAAATAATAATAAGTAAGAAATTACTTCATCTCGTGATGAGTTTTTAACAAATATAACGGTCGAGTAAGTACTAGAATTGTAAAATTCCTTTGATTGTTGAACCCTGTAATTAAGACTGTTGCACAAAATAGTTTAAAAATTCAGCTACTTTTTTTCCCTCTTTGTTTCAGAATGTGTGTTTTATCACACCGCAGTTTTTTTACGCGTTTTTCACCGCTTTCTCCGGGCAGGTGCGTATTCTTTTTAAAATAATTTACAAGTAGGAATTGCGACTCATAACCTTCACAAGCCACATTCTGCTGTCCGCTATTTCTCCGCTAGTTCTGCGCTAGTCACCCTGATGATTTGGTCTAAGGAAACTCGTCTCTTAAGGTAGCTCAAAACAGTTTCCAGCTCTTTCCAAGACCTGGATTTTGCTGAGTCTTTATAACCATTCTTTATCATTTGATGTTACAATCATGTATCAAAAAACTACCCAATCATTGGTGAACACGTGATCATTTTCGTTACACAATACTATAGCAACAGTGTGACCTGCTAAAAACACCCTTAACCATAGCTTAAAGGGATTATTATTCAAAAACGGCACGGTGAAACTTTTTTATATGATCAGTTTTTGATTAGCAGAATAAGGCGCAACTTTGGACAAAGTTTTAAAACAATCTGTGTATGTAGTTCAGAGCCACCTTAAGGTTTTGAAAATTTAAGTTGGCTCTGAACCCTATGTACAGAATTTTCTTGCGTGTGATTCCTTGTAACTTCTGTAATGATATTCTGTTCTGTTTGCAGCCTTTGTACCACGCATTTTTTTTAACAGCTTACAACATTTTCTTCACATCTTTACCGATTCTCGTGTATGGTATTTTTGAGCAACATGTCAACAGTGATGCCTTACAAAGTCAACCTCGTCTATACAGGTACGTTATGTGCAGTTTACTTTTGATTTGAGGCAGCATCGTGCAATTTTGAATAAACAAATATTCGTCGGTCAGTCCTGCTTGTTTGTTTGTTTTGTCAGTTTTTATTTGTGACTTGAACGTAGGGGTGAGATTGGTAGCCACGATTACTAGAGAGTTTTTTCCACCAATTTAAAGACCAAGCAGCATCAGGCAACATTTCCTAGCAACTTGTCCCAAACCCGTACTGAGTTGAAAGCTGTAGGAACCTGTACTTATGTTGCGCTTGATAGACATATTGCCCGAAACTTACACGCTACTGCATGTTGCCTCGGCTTACAACGCGGCTGAAAAACTTTGAATCCACAATTGTTGCACGACAAGTTGCAATAAACTGTTTACTGTATTGCTTCGCCTAACAAACATTGGACAGTTATTTGGAACCGAGTAAAATACAAACAAGCCAATAAGAAACCAACTAAGGGGAGTTCACTGTCCCTTTAGCCGTTTATTCCGTTCTGTAATCATCCATTGTAGTATATAGTACTTCACTGCGATTGGCTGAGAGCAGGCCAATTTGTCGCTGATTTTTCATTTGTACTGCAGTGCAAATTAACACGTGCGCATTGTTAATTTTCGCAGTCATTAATAAGCCAGTAATCGTGGAGCGGTTTTCAGTTGACTGTCGAAAATAATCAGGCAATGACTGTGATTGTGATTTTGGTTTTACTTAGGTTTGAGATTGGCTGAGTTGTCTAATTGGTAATAGGGTTGGTTTTGGCTTTACGACACTCAGTTGAAAGCAGCTCTATGAAAGCTCGAGCAACTCAGGATTTTCACTACTCAAGATATTTGGGAATTCTTTCAAATAGTTAGAAAATTTTCAAATATCACTCGTAGTGTAAATCCTAATTGCACTCGCATTTAAACGATTACTTATGCTTAATAATACAAATGAGAAGTTTTAGTCCTCAACGTAATCTTTTCAAGTAGGAATTCGTTGTAAATAATTAATTCTTCACTTTTTGTCACAGGGACATTAGAAAGAATTATCGTTTATCATGGACAGAGTTCTTCTTTTGGGTATTTTCCGGTGAGTAAATGTTGTTTGTAGCCATCTCAAGTGATATTGTCCCTAGCGCATAGTCTCATGACATCTAAAGAGGCCAATATCACGTAATCTCGTCCCCAAGATCTTCTCCACTTTTCAAAATAGCGGGCGTTTCCAGGGTCTTCTCCCTGCGAGCCGCCGTTTTGAAAATTGTCGAGAAGGCCCTGGGGACTAAGTTGTAATATCGCAAAAACTGTGAAGTCATAGGGAAACGTTGGCGCTGGTGTTAGCGTAAGTATTGGTTTGTATGTAAGGCAAGACGTTATTGTAAAACCTGACGAAAGTTGGGTCCTTGGAACACACAGATTAATTGCAAATTAATTTTACACCCTTTGTGATCATTAGATAATGTTTACAAAGTTGTAGAGTTTAACGATGTGTTTTATGTCTTCAGGATATTGGCACGCGTTAGTGTTCTTCTTTGGATCATATTTCTTTTTTCAAGGTGACACATTAGGACCGGCCATGTGGGTACGTTTATAAGGAATTGAGCATGCCAGAGAAACTTTGAAATATTTTCATTGAAATAATTTCTATTTTGTGCGTGTTATTTCTTGTTATCACTCCAAGAAGTAATTGTTTTCTTTTGAAATTAAAGAAACTTTAAAATTGATATGTAAGTAATAGCAAGTAGAATTCTACTAAGGTACATCACTCCATTCTTTCTTTTCCTAGCAATATGGAAACTGGTCGTTTGGAACCTTTGTGTTTACAGTGTGCGTCATTGTTAGTAATTTAAAGGTAAGTAATCAGTATCTAACGGTTATTATATACGTATCAGTGAGGGAGTGGTCTTCAAATGAGATTGGTAAAACTAAGTAATCACTCTGGCCCGTCACAAAGGACACGGGACAAGCGTTGCGTGACCGCCAAGTTAAGGGTTGCGAAGGAGACTAATAATCCAGTGAACCAAGCAAAACTCAAAGTCAATACATGTAGCTGGCACAAAGCGCGGGAAAACGTGTGCGAGTGAATCCCGATTGGTTTTGGTTTTACAGTGGAATTCCGATTTCTCGAACCCTCATTTCTTCGAACCTCCCGATAACTCCAACCAAAAGTCATTTCATTCCCTCATTTGAACACTGTAATTTTAACTCTGATTTCTCGAACTACCCGATTTTTCAAACCAAGTTTCGTTTCCCCTGGAGGTTCGAAAAATCGGGATTCAACTCCACTGTATTTCTGATTGGATCAGATGGACAAGGTGGCGGGAGTTTTTAAACCGGTCACTAACCGTAGTAATGCGAAACCAAGGCAAATGCCGATTACTTTCAACGTTCAAATGAAAACGGCTGTTTTAGACAACTTGGCAAGCACCCTCATAAGATATCTGCACTACATACGACACTCCTTCGGCTGCGCGACTTCATCAAATGAATGCGGTGAACACCAGCCGATTGATGGAGGCTGATTGTTCTTGTTCTTGTTGTATTGTAGCTGGCGTTAGTCACGCATTACTGGACATGGATGAGTCATGTTTCTACATGGGGTTCGATCGTTCTCTTTTTCCTCTCTACTATCACATTCAATAGCGAGACTTGGTTAGTACGAAGTAGCAGCGTTGTTATGTGTAAACTAGGCCGTGATGTTTATTCTTGATGGTCTCTATTGTAGACAGTGCAGCACTCTGTTCTGGTGTAGACATGTTTTTAATAAGTTTTATGCCACAGTTGAGGAATGATCTGAAAGAGAACTTCCATGCAGTGGGTAATAATAATGCCTTTGAACGTTTGTTCAAGCAAGAAATTACGAAATTACCCTAGCCTCAGAGTGAAGATGTCCATAGAAAGCTTTTTTTTTTTCACTTTTCTCAACATTAAATTTTGTTGAATTGGTGATGTAGTGTAGTCGAGCATTAGGAAAAGGATCGAGTGCCCACGGTACTGTATCCTATAGCTAAAAATGTTTCTAGGGACAGATACACGAAGGCCTTTAGATAAAGATGTCTCGTAACTATTGTTCAAATACAAAGGACTGTTGTTACGAAACAATGCTCAGGGTGCATCTTAAATTAGGAGAGCTTCGTAAATTCAGCCTCAACTGGTCTTCATGGTACTTCTGCGAGGACTAATAGAGTTTTAGTTTAGGATAAAATTACCTTAAAGGTGATCATGTTTCATGGAAATGTTCCAAGCTTAGCCCCTCTTCATTTGAAGTTATCTTGAAAAGTTAAGCCTAATTTTTTAAAGTTCGTTGTTTGTAATCCGTGTTAATCTTCTCCATCCTTAACTATCCTTATTCCCTTATGATTTTAGTATTAGCTCTGTGGTGTTTTTCTGTCTTAGTAAACTTTTACTTTGAGGTTTTCTTTAATTTAAAGGTAATTTTGTTCATAGCCAGAATAACTCAAAATAACGTGACTAAGCTCCTTTAAGTAAATAGTGTTTCGATAATGTTTAACTTTTGTTTGATATTTGTGTTTACAGGAAGAGTATCCAGTTAACCTTCAGTGACGTCATATCACTAGACATGTACAAGTTGTTCTTTACACTTTTCTCTCAAGGCGTGGTGTGGTTGGCACTCGTGTTGCTGATTCTTATGGCGCTGTTACCTGATATTGTCTTCATGTTGATTGGTCGCCATTTCCATCCTTCAGAGACACAAAAAGTGCAGGTAACTGTTTTACACATCTTTGATGGTAATGAGAAATTTGTCTAAGAGAGCTGGAATTTTCATGAGTTTGAGTTACTATTTCGAGTTCGAGTCAAGAGTTTGAAAAAGGATATTTTTTGGTCAAATTTCTAAGAAAACGTTCCTTGTTACATTTTGGAAGTGGAAGTGGAACTGGAACTATTTATATACATAGTGCAAACACCAATGTATGAATATATACTCTCGGCAGAAATGAAAGCTAGCCATTCTCGGGCTAACTGGGATGTCAATCAATCTTGAGTGCTAATTAAGCTTTGACTTAAACTAAACCCAAACTCCAACTCATGAAATAGACATTACCCCAACATAATGTCTCTGGGACGAGTTCAGAGTGTTGGTACTCTCAGAGAAAATAGCTTCTTCCAGGCGTTCAGTTAGTTGGGGTGCAGCGCGAAAAAATGGCACAATGAAAAGTAGGGGAGAAGCGCGGCGCGGCCAGTTCGTTCGCTCCTCTCACCGAGCCTCTCTCTCCTTTATTTCGCTCCGCCAACCAAAATTAAATTTAGTGACGAAAGCCCAAAAAACTCAATTGAGTAATGGTGCTTTAAGGTAATTTAACACTTTCGGCAAGCTTTTTTTCTCTATCCTTTACCAAGGGTTGTTCTTTCCTTTTTGCGAGCGACTCGTTTCTTGTTAAGTTTAACCCAAAGACTCATTAGGTTTTTAGTTTTGTCTTGAGAAGAAACATACACTGTTGTAATAGTTTAGGAAGCTGTGATATGATCTAGCAATGAAGCTCTAAAGTGATAAGCTTTCTAGCTCCATTTTGAAAATTGAGCTGATTGGTGACACCTACTTAGTAACAATACTGAAAACCTAATTAAGACTCATTCAGTCAAACAGTTAAATGTGATGTAAAAAATAATTGAAATGAATTGTAGTTTAGTAGTGCAAAAGTTCTCAGTTTATAATTATAAAATAGCATTACTTACCTCAACTGCTTTACTTATCTGAACGTTCTTCTACTCGTAATGAATCGCTTGTGTGAAACTCAAGCCTAGTTCAGGCTTCTGCGGCGGATAAGCACAAGCATTTGTGCAAAGGAAAAGAGGTCGATTAGCCGATTGATTTGTTTTTGGAAAACCCTAACCTATAGGTAACATTTCTGAAAACGCTAAATAAATCTTCCAGGGAATCTAAGAAGTTGATGTGTAAGTTGAGGTTACTTTACATATATGACGCTAGTTTGTAAGTGCAAGCACAGTGCTGTTCAGATGTCCGAGAGACCTATACGCCAAGTGAAATCCGTAGTCCCTTTGACTTTCATTTAACGGTGTAATGTGCCATGAAGGGGATTAATAAAGGACCGCCTGCCATGACACTACTCCGGTTGTCGTTAAGCCTCAGCACAAGGGAAAGAAGATGTTCTTTCTCTTGCGCGTGCTTGTACGCTTGCGCTTTTCCTTGTGCCTCCTCTGTCAACACGTGCGGATCTTGTCCTTGTGCTTGCGTCATACGTGTTAACTAGGGTGATTGTGCCAGTGATTTGATAATATTACGATGTAACTGACTGACGGAAACGAGAAACCGCTGGCGCATGATAACAAAGATGGTCGTGATAATGACGTGTTGTCGATTACTGTAGTGGAGTGAAGGATTTGTCGACAACAAAACTTCCGGGTTTGCTTTCCACAAAAATAGGTAACGAAACTGAGTCATGTAACGTTTTGCACACGCGCAAATTTTTTGGTATCGATAATTATTTCTCCCGTCTGCGAGGGCCATTAACACTTCACGGTAATGGAATAGACCGCAAACCCATCATGAGTGGACCCCGGCAATGCTAAGAGTGTGGCGGCTTAACTTAATGCTTTCGTCTCACATCATGTACGCATTGTTCATGGACGGGTCGTATATTATTTTCTCTGTGTCGAAGCGAAACCTCGTTCATCTCCGTGGATAACTTCTCCGACTACGCCTTCAAAAAGGTAAAATTCTGTCACAGCACTCGTATTTCAATTGTAATAATAACCCACACTAAAAGCAATCTTGTTTTTTTACACATTTCCGCTTTTAACTAACCTTGTGAGGTTCATAAACGCCTAACATTACTAACATCAATAATTTGCATGTCCAGTTATTGTAATGAACTGAATACAATAAATTAAGTTTCTAATATGCATTTTATATACGGCTGCCATCTAGCGTGAAAGTTAAGTTCTGTGTCGTTTTTCATAGCAATATATTTCTCGGTTCTAAATTAATTTTCACGTTGACGATTTCCTTAAAAGCACTTAGATTAGGAGTTACACCGCGTTTCCTACTTAACAAATCTTAGTTAATAGAGGGAAATGGCTAGGAAGGTCGGTAAACATCACAGAAACAACAAACAAGTTAAGATTTATGTTGGAAGGTCCTTGACCCTGCACGTCTTTTGTTTTGTGCTCATAAATTATGCATGAATTACGTAATCGCAATGCTTCTATTGGTTAGTTGTATGAAGACACATAACCACCTTTTGTATTTTGTCAGGTTTTGTACAGGGTCAACCCCAAAATAACCAACAATAACAACAAAAGTAAAAAACTTTGCCAGGTTTCCTATCCATTTCCCGCTATTATCTGTGTCCAAATATTTAGTTTGACAGGTGTAATAAAGTAGTTCAATATTTTTATTTGTGCATCTAATTTACCTAGTAACACATCTTTTAGCTTGAGATCCACTCTTTTGCCAGAAACAATCTTACTCATGATCTGTTCGGCTTCTGCTTCAGTTATCTTGGAAGTTATATTAAAGCCACGCACTCGCTGCACTCATAAAAAACATTTCCTTATTTTGTGTCAACTTTAACAGTAAAAAGAAGTTGGCAGATTTGGTTAAGTTGTAAATTTGATGGTCATGTGCTTAGTTAATGATATTTGTTTTCAGGCTGGTACCGCTGCAGAAGGTAGAGACTCGCTTGTGGCTGCTGTGGATACAAATGCCATATTGTCTAACGGCACATCAGAGGTTTCCACTCAAAGTGACGTGTCACTGATTGAATTAACCGGTAGCAACGCTTCTGATTTAGCAACTTGGCGAGTTTTGGACTTAAATTAGGGTAGTTTGAATTATACAGCTTAGTCGCTTGAAGCTTCTATAGAGATGTTCTCCATATCACAACCAGACCTTGAATAAGTTAAAATTCTGATAGCAAATTAGGACAACTGTAAAAATTAAGATCCTCCTTGTGACAGATTAACCTGGCCTTTTAAGTCTCTACAATCGATGTTACTACGGATTACTAATGACTTGATTTGTATTCTTACTGATGTTCAAAATGATAGCGAAGTCACGACTTTGGGTAGTTTTTTTTTCTCTAAAATGTTTTTCATAGGGTTTTGAAAGTTAATAAAATTGTTATTCCTGTAGTTGTTACAATTATTATTTACGTAACTAAATTACCGTACGGCAAAGAACGCCTGTCAGTAACTATCGAGCATTGAGCGTCAGAATTCGAAGGATTAAGAGTCTTGAAAAAACTGATCTAATGACCGAAAACTTTCCTTGGGTCAGTGTTAAAATGTTAAACGTGTTGAGGTATGCCAGTAAAATGGCTATCGAATGAGGGTTTCTGCCTTCGAAAACCTCTCGCTTAGGCTTGAATTGTTTTATTGTGGAGAATTTTGTTACAGCCGTGAAATTCTCTTCCCGTGAATGAAAGAGTTTCTTTGTCGGTAAAGTGTCAGAACTTCTATGTGCGGTTTGGTTCGCATAGTTTATAGCATATCCGCTAAACGGCTCTACATCCGCTGTTTCCACATCAAATTGTATTAAGAAATATTATATTGTCTGAGGAGAGGATAACCGGATAACCTGGAACGGAAAGCCTCGCGAAGCAACGAAGATCACAAATATACGTTTACAATATAAATATATTTTTACAATAATTGAGAGTCTTCCACGCTCATTAGTCGAAAGCTGTGGTCTATGAGCGTAGGCGATTAAAATGATATAACATGCAGTGCAACGCAGGTCACCGACTTAGTTTTGGAGAGAATATGCCAGGAAGAACACCCTAAATCTGAAATAATCGGGCTTCGTTAGTGAATAAGACCACAGTGTCTGTAAGCCCAAAGACATTGCAATTAGATCTTGGAGGTGAAATGTTCTCTGCCAAATATTGTTTAAGTGGACCTATTAAGTGAATTTGGTCAACTGGTGAGGTTCCTTTAAGAACAAGTTCGCATTTAGCGACCATAGTTTCACGCGCCTTGCTGCCTCAAGATGGCAGGATTCAATGTCCCGTGGACAGAAATCTTGGAATTTTTTTTGACTTCCCACTTTGATTTTTTGTTCATTTTTGGACAATGTGGAGATAATTGTAAATAAAATCTGTTTCTGGAAAGAAAAGTAGGGGTCGTTAAATCCAGGCAAAGCTACAGCAATGGCCATCTGCCCTATCACTGTTAATTTTATTACTTAGCGCGCGCTCTCATACATGACGTAGCGTGTGAATTTGCGTGTGCAGTAACGATGCGTAGAAACAATGAGCGCGAACGTCCTTAAGGGGAAAATTTCCAAAGAACTCGGTAGCTTCAACCAGAAAAAGCTTTCGCGGTGCGCGTGACTTCCCACTGACGTTACCTCTAATCCTCATTTTCTAATTTTCAATTTTTTCTAATTTTGTGTTTGTTTTCACTATCGTTTTCTGTTTTGGGTTGTGATATTTAATATTTTTTTTCTTTTGTTTCATGCTAATCATCTAATGGTCGCTGCCTCTCCATAACCCGTTCTTTCTGTCAAGGCGCAGGGTCCAAGGAGTGCCAGCAGTTTGTACTTTAATGTAATATGTCCTGAAGAGAGTAACAGGGACAACTAGTAAGTCGAGATGAACAATAACACGGCATTCAGCCACAGCACCAGATTGCACTGAGCGTTTTGTGTATTAGTTAACCCGACACCTTGACTGTTTTCATCTCGTAGATTTAACATACTGAATTTCAAACAATTTCAAGCAGTATTTGGAACACTGATCGAGAAATTAATTGTGACATTTTTTACTTTTTCAATCCAGTTTATTTTTTAATAAATCAGGCTTTAGAATTGGAACTAATTTTTGTTGATGGCGAGTTATGATCAAGACTGGGAGCGTACTGTCATTTGGATGACGTAATTGAAGATGGTCAGCTAATATTTTCTCTGTACAATTGTTTCTGAATTTTTGCGTGTTTTTGTTTGAAGTTTGAATTGCTGGCCAAACTTCACAGTACCCCGGCATTAAAATATTCCTCTTCACAACCTGTTCCCGTGGTCTGCACTCGCGTTCACAAAATGCAATCAATAGTACTGATTCGTTCTTGAAGCGAAAGTCAAAATGGAAGCAACGGTCAAAATTTCTATATTCCTCATTCTTGAAGCAACCCTTGACAACGAAAAGTAAAATAGTATAAATAATAGACAAAACATAGCCATTCATTTCAACACTTTGTCGATTTGAAATTCACCGACTATGCGACTGCAGACCGCGGTAGCAGTTCAGTTCAGTTCAGTTCACTTATTTTATAGTCGCTAACTGCAAGCCGGCAGATCGCGGTAGCACTTAAGGCTAATTCAGGTTCATCAACTGCGGACCGCGGACCGCAGTAGCACTTTAGTCACTACAATTAATTTATTTTATTGTCACCCACAACGCTACTATGGATCGCGCTTAACTCAATCATTCCATATTTAATGTTTCTAATCGACTGCGGACCACGGACCACACCTTTTAGGTCGATGCGCCTTCCGAATGGCCAGGTATTCTGCAGTTCTTGGAGGTGCTAACCATTGCGCCATTCTTTTTGTATTAAGCTGACACGGTGCTTGTCGTTCAGTTTGCCTCCGCGAGCACGGAATAAAACGGCAGCTAAGGTTTTTCAAGAAGTGAAACCAAGTGAAGTTCATAAGGAGTAAAATTTATTTCCTTCGTATCTCGGAAAACTCTTTCTTATTTTTTCTTAAAAACCGATCGAAACCTAATTACCATCTCTGCAATTTGGGTTTTGCCATACTCATTTTTAGGCGTCAATCTGTCGCTCTCCTCCTTTACATGCACTATTAACAATCTTCTGGTGTTGAAGTGTTTTAATAAAACCTCTCACTTTGTTTTTAGGTGAGAGTGAAACATTCGCAGATGACATGGTTGTAATAATGGCTCATTTAAGCTGCTTCTCTTCACCTGATGCACTGTGGATATTCCTTACTTCTGCTAAGGCTTCAAACCAAGCTGTATACACATGTGTACCTCACTTGTGCCCAGGTCTTCTCACTCTTAACTCACACGTGTTGCCTTTTCGCACCTGAAATTTAAATTGTTTGTAAATTTTCAGAATGGTTACGTATGTTTCGCTCTGTGTTCTCGGCAATATCGTAAAGCAGTTAGAAGCTTTCACTCTTTCACTTGAAAGCGACTGATACCTGACGTGTGCTATAAATGAGTAAATCCGGGGGTACCCCGGGTCTATAACAGGTTAGCTTGCCTCATATTGATGGTATATATCGTTCTGGTGATAGGTCAACTTTCTTTGTGTTCTTCTGTAAAAGTCCTGTTAGTGTTTTACTCAAGTGTACAACAAAAACCAGTTTAATAAGACAGTTTAAATCCCTGTAAAACAAGAGAATGCGATTTTTGTCTCTTGTCGTAAACAGAGTCTTAAAATAAAAATGATAAAAATAAGTATTGTCCTAAACAAGGTAGACTTCTTGGGGTATTTTTGTAACAAGCAGGGTCACGACTTCAAATCCTGGGTGGTACCCTATACACAAACATGGGTCAAGTACCGTCCTCCTAAGTAAATACAAATTTATTCAGAAAGTACGTTTTGTTGTAATTATAAATCAGGTTAAAGAGATTAAACAATGTAGGCCGAGCATGAAAACCAGCATTCGAAGAAAACTTTTCTTTTATTATTTATTCAAATCGAAATCAAAAAAGGCTAATTGAGGCGGGCAGTGTAATAAAAAATACATTTAAGTCACAATTAACAAACACGTAAGCAAGTAAAATGTATGAACAATAAATCCAGTGGAACCTCCACAATCGGCCAGCTCTTTACAACCACCACTTGGACGGTCCATACAGTGACTTTTATTTTAACCTCTCTACAATGGCTACCTATCCATATGGGCAACAGCCACTAAAACCCGTCCCAACTACCAAAAGTAACTCTCGACAATGGCCAGTTTATCAACGACTGACGAACTGTGTAAAACCACATTGTTTTACTGTAGCGGGCCACGAATCTTGATCCATACCCCAGGTCGCCGATCTCTCTTTCTGTAAGTTACTGTTTTGTTGATACATTTTGATCAAGTATTTTTTAAAGATAAAAATGTTACACCCCTACCTCCCCATAACGACCACCTATCTATAACGGCGTCTTCCCTCTGTTCCAAGTGCTCGTTGTGAAGACGTTCGATTGTAACTGTTATGTAGCTTAAATTAGTTATCACTTTAATCACTTTAGCTGAACGTAACACACGTTTACGTCATATTGCTAATCTTAAGCTTCTTATCAGATATGCTCTCCCGAAGAGTGAGATATGGGTGAGAGTTTTGTAATTGTTTCCTCTCATCTCATGTTTTGTTCTTGAGATGTCTGTAAATAATGAAAACACATGAGATTTACTGAGATAAGTGAGCTGTGAGAGGGTTTCGTCCACTTATGAAGTAGAGGGGAACAGGGAAATGAATTAACGGAAAGGCAAATTTAGGTTAGGTTACTGGAAATATTTTTTGCTTTTGTTGGAACGCTGTGTTTCACTGACTGTTATTGTAAGCCATTTGGGAAATTTTAGGACTCGAGAAAATAGTATAAATATTCAGCAATACACTAACAAAGCTGTCATTATAAAAAGTATCATTACCATTAATTACCAAGAAGGGACACTTTGAGAATGTTCCGAGGTTAGCAAGGTTTTCTTATTTGCATTTCAGTTTTGAAACAGATCCTTCTTCTATTTCTCCTCCATCTTCAGTCTCCAGCTTCTGCTCCTGTTCCCCCTTTTACTCTTAATCCTTCGGTTTCCCGTTCTCTCCTCCTCTTTCTCCCCCTCCCCCTCCTCCTACTCCCCCTCCTTCTTTCCCCGGCTTCTAGACAAGACGTCGTCAACACATCAATAGTGAAAGAAAAGACCAGAGCTTTCTTGTAAACCGTTCACTGTGAACATAACACCTTCCATTTTTCTTGAACTTTCTGGTGTGCCACGAGAATCCTGAGCTGAAACTGAAACGGATGAGTATTGTATTTTCGCATGCTAGTTGTGATAATATTTTATCACGACTCTATCTTCTTCTACTAGCTGCGAGTTTTCGGTGCAAAACGACACATTTGTGCAATCTAATAAGGAAAACTGGGTTATTATTATTCTGCTGGGCGTTCATGTTTGCAGTGTCTCGGAAACAAAATAGCCAAAAGTAGAATTTAATTAACACAATAATTTAATACTCGTGTGAATTCTCCAGTCAAAAATGTTTCCTCAACAATCTCTAGAATGAGAGTTATTGTTTGAAAGGGGCGAAGCTCACTTTCTTTTTGCGTCTTTTTGTGTATTAATTGTAAATAAAGATGACATTTTGATCTGGACTTGTTGAATGAATTCATTGTTCAGTATGAAGCAACCAAATGTAAGAAATAAGACTAAAAACTCATTCACAGATACCCGAGGTGTACTGAAGATTAAGAACCGAACTGAAGCTCTAACACTGTGGAAACGTGTGCATCTGACACTGCCAGATTATAATATAAATGAGACCAGTGAAAGCGGAAATTTGTCTATCGGAAACTGTTATAGTATGCTTTATAACGTTTCAAGTTAACTGCTGTTTGCCAAAGAAGTAGAAATGCAGCAAGAATTCATATTGAACGTAACGTTTGATGCACCTAAAGAGCTTCCGTGTGACTAAATGTAATGGTAACGAATAATTATTTGAATTGGCACAGT